AACCTCCAACTCCTGGGCTCAAGCAAGTCTCCTGCCTCAGCCTCCCAAGTAGTTGGGACCACAGGCGCCCACCACAACACCCGGCTATTTTTTGGTTGTAGCCATCATTGTTGTTTGGCAGGCCCGGGCTGGATTTGAACCCACCACCTTAGGTGTATGTGGCTGGCGCCTTAGCCACTTGAGCCATAGGCGCAGAGCCAGTTTTTCTATTTTTAATAGAGATGAGGTCTAGCTCTTACTCAGGCTGGTCTTCAACCCCTGAGCTTAACTGATCCACCCACTTCAGCCTCTCAAAAGTGTTAGGATTATAGGTATGAGCCACCATGCCCAGCCAATATTCTTTTTAAAGTTTTTCCTGGTTGCTCATGTACATTTACTGTTTCAGATGTACCCTGGAACTGTTTTTTCAGGTTCCTAGAAAAATCCTGTTGTAATTTACATTGGGATTTTATTGTATATACCTATAAAGAAAAAGATAATTATTTTACAATACCACCTTAAATGAGGTAATCGAGATTATAGTACAATGCCTAGCACAAGTACAAAGCATTCAATAAATTTAGATATTCCAGGGCTGAGCAAGGTGGCTCACGCCTGTAATCCTAGCACTCTGGGCGGCCAAGACAGACAGATTGTCTGAGCTCATAGGTTTGAGATGGGCCTGAGCCAGAGCAAGCCCTCCCGTCTAAAAATAGCTGAGTGTTATGGCAGGTGCCTGCAGTCCCAGCTACCTGGGAGGCTGAGGCAAGAGAATCGTCTGAGCCCAAATGATTTGAGGTTGCTATGAGCTACGATGCTAGGGTACTCTACCATGGACAACAAAGTTAGAATTCTTCATAATTCTTTCTTAAAAGAATCAGCTAATTAGAAAAAAAATTAAACTTACATGTCTTATTGGGGTTGATATGCTGTTTCAATACATCAATAGTGCCCAGACTAACCACAAGGCGCCTTCCAAACCAGAAAGAGACCACAGGCCCGTATCTTTCATGCAAATTAACCAGGAACTCATGTAAACTTCCACTATGCACAATATCTGGAAGATTACCATCTCTGATAAAACAGAAACATTTGACAAAATAATCAATTTAACTTGGGAAAGAAAAATCACAAAAACAACAGTTGACTCAATTAACTGTGTCCACAGATGAAAACAAAGGCTCATGAAATTCAAATTACTACAAAATCCAAAACTCAATTATGTTTAAAATAGTAGTCTACTTTAAATTGCACATGAATTTTATGACCACCCTTTATTTGCCTTCTCACAAGACATGGATTTATCTGATATTTTGAGAACTCATAACACTTCAAGTAAAAAAGTTACACAAGGAACATCGACTGAGGTACTGGAAAACCATCCAATTTTTGCATATAATTCTGAGATAATAATAGACATCAACATAGGCTGGTAAAAATCATCAGACCAGCTATGGCAATTTTTTTCTTCTTTTTTTCTATCTTAATCCTATTTTCAGCTTTTTTGAACAAGAAGAAGTAAAAGAAATTAAAGATTTGATTTATACAGTCCTCTTATCTGGTCCTAACAAAGTAAGGTTATTTGAGCAGTGGTAAATTTAGGGTAAACAAGGGGAATTAAATAAGAAGGATAAGAGAAAAATATGGTTTTAGTTTTTATATCAAAAATGAAAAGTTGAATCTGCTTGATTCCAAAACTCTACTCACTTTTCTTCGGTTGGAGGAATCCCTGGAATTCCTGCAGCTTGTCTAGAAGCCTTAAAGAAAAAAATTAATATAATAAATTTCATATATCCTGGAGGAGGGAGGATTGAGTGTTCCCACTTAATGGACAAAATGTAAAGGTACACGGCAGACCTCTTGGGTGTAGGACAACTGGACTTAGCATAAAAAAAAAAAATCCATGCTTATAACAGTTTCATTCTTAAAATAAGTATATTCTTTCTAGTCAAATAATTCACCAAAATAGAGAGTTGATTGCTATGGCCTAAATATTTGTGTCCCCAACATTCATATACTGAAACCCAATTCTAAATATGATATTAGGTAAGGTCTTTTGGAGGTGGTTAGGTCATAAAGGCAGAGCCCTCATAAACATAATTAAGTGTCCTTATAAAAGAGCCAAGAAGGTTGCACACATGGGAGTCATAAAGTTAAAAAAAAAAAAAAGTCCTTGAATGAAAGTCCATCACTGGTGGCCATACTCTGTCTTAATGTTTGTTTCAAAAATGATAAACAGATTAAACTGGATCACAACAGCACAATATAGAGCTTCCAGAAATCTAATTTTGCGAGGAATTTAACATATTCAGTTGCCCTAGGTCTTTAATTTTGGATAACTTTTTTTTTTTTGAGACAGAGCCTCAAGCTGTTCTCCTGGGTGGAGTGCTGTGGCATTACAGCTCAGGGCAGCCTCCAACTCCTGGGCTCAAGCAAGTCTCCTGCCTCCGCCTCCCAAGTAGCTGGGACCACAGGCGCCCGCCACAATGCCCGGCTATTTTTTGGTTGCAGCCATCATTGTTGTTTGGCGGGTCCGGGCTGGATTCGAACCCGTCACCTTAGGTGTACGTGGCTGGTGCCTTAGCCGTTTGAGCTATAGGCGCTGAGCCAATTTTGGATAATTTTTAAATGAGACTATGCTTTGATTAGCCCATAGAAACAGCAATGTTTATTCTTTCAATCTGTTATGTGCCAGAGTTTCATGCGCTACGAATCCTACAGTGCACAAATCTGACAAAAAATTCTTCTTAGCACTCTGGGAAGCCGAGGTAAGTGGACTGACTGAGCTCAGGAGTTCCAGACCAGCCTGAGCAAGAGACCCTGTCTCTACTTAAAAAATATAAAAACTAGTTGGGCAAGGGGGCACATGCCTATAGTCCCAGCTACTTGGGAGGCTGAGGCAAGAGGACTGCTCAAGCCTAAGAGTTTCAAGTTGCTGTGAGCTATGATGCCACCGTACTCTACCGAGGGCGACAAACTTAGACTGTCTCAAAAAAATAAATAAATAAATAAAGACTATTCTTCATAACTAACTCTTGTGTTCACAACCTCCGAGATTGACAGAAATAACAGGTGACGCAGAGGCAAAGCACTGTGGCAGGGGGACAGCGCGCACAGTAACCGGTAGCGCAGTTTCTTTCCAGAAGCCCACTTGCGTCTGCAATCCCGCGAGAGGTTAAGGCCTGGACCTCGAGCTCACTGGATTTCAGTAACCGTAAGTCGACAGACGGAAAAAAAAAAAGCAGACAACACGAAAAGTTTTCAAAGAATCCTCAGGAAAAGAGAAAGGTGTGGCGCGCCCTGAAGTATCCTCTCTGCCACACTAGAAAACAGAAATCCAGGTTTTCTTTAGTTTGACACAGTCTCAGTCTCCCTGGGTAGAGTACCGTGCCGTTACAGCTCACAGCAACCTCAAACTCTTGGGCTTAAGCGATTCTCTTGTCTCAGCCTCCTGAGTAGCTGGGACTACAGGCGTGAGCCACCGCACCAGAGGCAGACTTCGGGTTTGGAAACTTACTACCAAAAGACCACCCCAAATAATTCAAAGCCGCCTCGGAAAAGTGGCGTGGGATTCCGGGGGCAGAGAAGGGAGGCCAGCCAGTGTGGACCAGTCTTCAACCCTCCCTCGGGTGCTCTGCACACGACTGGATAACTGAGCCCCGCGTCCCCCTGGCCTGCAGCGAAGCGCCTTAGAACTCGCGCCCTCGCAGGGCCGTCACGTGACTCCGGGGGCGGTTCCCGCGCCAGAGCCCAAGCCCTCCACTCAGGCCCGCCCCTTGTGGATAGCAGAGGGCCAGTCAATGCAGGTGCGGCTGGGAGAGAAGCTGGGGCAGCGGCCAGAGCCCTTGAGGGCTGAGCCAGCGGTTACCGGGTAGAGGTAAAGCACCGCTCCCACCAACGCCAGCAAGAAGGTTATGGCGAAGATCGCGAAATCCAACATGGTTCTTCCGTCCTGGGAGCCACGTCTCGGATCCAGGGCTCAGGCAGCAACGCCTCTGCCTGGTGCGACCTACGGCAATAGCGTGTGGGCGGGGGCAGCCGGAGGACCCGCGAGCGAATAGGCTGCTGGGGGCGTGGCCACGCCCTGCGGGGGAGAGCAATAGATCGCCGAGCAGCCCAGTGCATCCCCAGGGTCTGAACTGAATGCCAGCTTCATAGCCCAAAGACCGGATTGTGGTTAGTAGGTTTTCAGAGCCTGTCTGCAGCTTGGAGGCGGAGTTGCTGGCGAACGGAGAGTGTTGTCTTCTGAGAAACGTTAGTAGTTATTATTGCCCTGCCTCGACCAACACTTTTTCCAATGTATTAAAGATCAAAACCTCGGGCGCGTTGACTCACGTATGTAAATCCCAGCACTCTGGGAGGCCAAAGCGTGTGGATTGCTTGAGCTCAGGAATTCGAGGCCAGCCTGAGCAAGAGCTAGACGCCCGTACACAGTGGTTACAGCGCCGGCAACCTGCACCGAGGTTGGCGGGTTCGAACCTGACCGGGCCTGCTGAACAACAATGACAACCGCAACAAAAAGTGGGCGAGCGTTTTGACGGGCGCCTGCAGTCCCAAGAGAATCGCTTGAGTCCAAGAGTTTGAGGCTGCTATGAGCTGTGACGCCATGGCACTCTACCCAGGGCGACAGATTGAGATTCTGTCTCAAAAAAAATAAAAATAAAAATACAAAAATTAGCTGAGCGTTGTGTTGGGCTCCTGTAGTGTCCTGCTACTGGCGAGGCTGAGACGGGGGATCACTTGAATCCAGGAATTTGAGGTTGCAGTTAGCTGTGGTGATGCCTGGATACTCTACCCAGGGTGACTCTGTCTCAAAAATTAAATAAATTAATATAAAAATAATATAACATGTCAAGAACAGGTAGAAAAAGGAATGCATTTTAGCTTACCTCATTGAAAATGCCAACTCTTTAGGCATTTATAGCAAATATAATGAAACATCGCTATTTAATATTCCATTTGGCAGAAATCATACTTTTAGATTTTCTTTCCAGGTAATTGTGTCAAGCTGTGGTGTTTCAGAAGATCGTTTTCTTTTTTTTAAATTTCAGATTGATATGAGGGTATAAGTGATTAGGCTGCAGTGTTTGCATTTGTTAGGTAAGGTCCCTGTTGTAGTTGTGTCCCGCACCCAGGAAGTGTGCCATACACCCTTAACATGGTGCCCATTAGTGAGGAGCACCAACAAGTTCATTTTCAAGGCTGTTTGGAATTTTAAAGACATCCCATCAAAATGCTGTTCTAAATAAGTTTTTGAAATAGTAAACATAAGATTTTTAAGTGCATAATGTACTTGTGTAACTAGCTCCATGAGGTAGTTTTAATGATATATTACATGTCTCTTATATTTCAAGTTTCCAAACCAGTAAGATTTGATGACCAGAACTTTGTTACTTTCTGTTACACAGATACATTCATTCCATTTTGAGTTCCCAGAAGGGTGAAAACCTCCTTGCAGCCGTGAGATAACTACAGAGCCTTATACCAACTGTCTGGAAAAGATAAGATAAGCAACACATCACCACAGATTATGCCCAAGGACTCACTGAACCTATACACAAGGCTAAAAGAATGACCAATATTAACCCCTAGCTTATTATAATACTAAGAACTCCACCTTGGGAAGATCTTATCCACCATTTTTTGTTCATAGGATGTAAGTACTAGCATGATTTCCCACTGTGCTTGTGTGCTCTACACTCCCCCCCAAACACAAAATGATGTTCACTCCCCTCATACATTTTCACTTCCATGAAAACCATTTGACCCTGTTGGTCAGGGAGGTAGTTTTGAGGCAGTCTGCTCAGGAGGTTGAGGCAGGAGGATTGCTTGAGGCCAGGAATTGGAGGTTACAGTGAGCTATGATGATGCCCCTGTACTCTAGCTGGTGTGAGAAAGCAAAACTCTGCCCTGCCTCCCAAAAGATGGAATTCTGGAACCAGGCATCTTGATCATGTCATGATGGCATCTATCCTTGTTAGTCTGTGGTGTGCAGCAGCAAGAAGATTATTAAAATTATCTCCAGTGGTGGCATGAGATGAAATGGCAGTAGGGTAGGGAACAAATTTTAGGTAGTCAAATGACTGTTGATGGCAACTGTAGGAATTACAAAAAGATTGTGAAGTGCATGGCTATTTCTGGCTGCATTATAGAGGTTATGAAAGGAAATAAGTGTTTTAGGCCTTGAACTCCCAACTTAAGGTAGTGCAGAAGAAGAACCAGAGGCTTTCATGATAGTCTCAAAAGAATCCCTTATTGTGCAGCCGCAGGGCAGATATACCTGACTGCAGATTGGAGAGTTACAGTGCCAGTTAAAATGCACAACCTTACCAAGTCTCTTTTTTTTTTTTT